TGCTTCTCCTCGGGCAGCTCGATCTTCTGCGGCGCATCGTACGCACCCGACATCGAAAAGAAGAAGACGGGCACATCGTAGTCGTTGGTCCTCGTGAGGTTGGCTGGCGATGTGAGCTCGCCGTCGATGAAGCGGCCGAATCGGTATGTGTGTCCGTCTCGGAGGGCGAAGAGCAGGCCGCTCTTGCCCACCACCTTGTTGAGGAAGGAGGGGTACCCAAATGTGTCACGACTCGACCTGATATCAACATGAGGACCCAGGATGATCTGTCTGTGTGCCTCTTTCCCTCTGTGTGTGTGGCTCGATTACTTGTAGATGAGTGTGACTGTGGGTAAGGGTTTGCCGGTCATGTTGATGACTTTGCCCCACTCCTCGGCCGACTTGGCGATGAACTGCTCGCCGTCGGTGGTCGGCAGATGGCAGTACGGCTGGTACCTCAGCCCATACATCTCCTGACACACACATGAGACCAGCAGCCGCACTGCCAACTGGTGTGGACCCGGGCGCGGTGCCGTCACTTACGATGTCATCGATGAGGTGGCGCTCGCCTCCCTCCTCGAGCAGCGGCGGTCGGATCAGCTGACAGGCCGGCAGAACGGCGATGCGCCGGGCAAACTCCACAGTCGTCACGAAGCACTTGGTGGGCGTCTGACGCACTCGACGGTCGGCCCAACAGGGGGGTGTGCTGCACAGACCACGCACAGCCCCCAAGCGCCCAATATGACCTGGTCGTTGTCATATCTGTGTCTGCTCGCTCCTCTTACGTGGCGAAGCGGGTGAGGAGCGGGTGGTTGGGGCCCAGACGACTGAAGGTCTTGCGCATCATCGACACCTTGCGGCCAAGGACCGTCAGGCTTAAAATCTCGTTCTCGCTCCCGTCAGGGCTGGCGAAGAAGGGCTCCATGGCCTCCAGGAAGCACCTGATGTCATCCCTGACGCCCTGCAGCTGCTTGATGGCCGCCGAGTGGGTGCGGAGGAACTGCTCGCAGGCCTTCAGATACTGCTGGATGGCCTGGTCCTCGCTGCCGGGGGGATTGTCAGTCGATGCTGTGCTGGCCGTGTGGGGTGGGGTGGTCTGCTGAGGGGCCGCATAGCAGTTGATCTCCCGCATGAAGAGGGCATGGTAGTCGGCGTAGAGCGGGTCAGCCGCCTTGGGCGGCGGCAGCTCGACAGTGTTGGTGCGGCCAGTCTCGTAGAGCGTCAGCTCGTCCAGAAAGGCCTCGAAGTAGGCCGATGACGTCTCGAGGTAGAGGTGGCCGTTGGGGTCCTTGGGCAGGCCGCCCGCGTGGTGCATCAGCATCACTGAGATGTAGCGGTGCTTCATGAAGGGCATCAGCAGGGCTCGCCGACTCACGGGGAACACCACTCCACCTGTGCATATGCACACATCCATCCAGGAAATGAGTGTGATGCACGACGCTATTCCTGCCTGCCCTGCCTGCAACTCACTACCAGTCTGTTCCGTCTTACCTGCGTTGACATGCGCCTCGCCATCCGTGTCAATGGGGTCCCACATGCCGCCCCGTGCCGACACCATGTCCGAGATCTCATCCGTGATGGCCTTCACATCCCCCTCTGCCCT